GCAGCTGATAAAGAAGCACAGAACACAAGGCAGTAGAAGAAACAGAAACAGAAAACAAGAGGTGGAAGCGAGAGGTTGAAAAAAGTGATGGAAGACGATCCAAAATAAGGAGAAGAAAGGAGACAAAAATTAAAAAAAAAAAAGTAATGCTTATAAAATGGATTCCAAGTACGAGTACTAGTGTAAATTTCGAATGGCATTCAAAGACACTCACTCCATTAAAGAATGCCTAACAGATCGGCTCCCCCCAACCACGAAATATTCGTCGAAAGGAGTTGAGTCGCTGTTGTACGAATTTTCCATAAGCAAACGGACACAGAATCGATCTTGGATTCCCCGAGAATGTCAGATAAACATATATATTTCGGTGGCGAGGGGGCGTTTCCTTTAACTATCTTCTCAGTTTTCCCATCGTTGAGATCGGAAGACCATACCATACCATACCATATGAGTATGTAGCAATTGGAATGTTCAGAGAATAACAAATTGAAGGTCCCATGGAATAGTTTAAACCGAATAGCAGTACCAAGATATCTGCTGCACATTCCGTTCGCAACATCAAAACGTATCCGTAGCCGTATCCGTATCCGTTGCCGTATTTTGGCCTCCTCTTCCACTGATTTTGCCCGTATTTCGATGCAATTCAATGGTCAATACAATTTTGGGTCTCTTCCTATGTCTCCCCCTCTTCTTCTCTCTCTCTCTTTCGCTCTCTGTTGAGGCATTGACTTTTACACATCGCAGCACATGGCCATGCTCGTAGGTACGGTACCCTTGCCACCCACCCCCTGCACCACACACGACACCCAGAGCATCGGAGCATCGGAGCATCGGAGAGGCGCTCAATTGTATCGTCATTGACGCTGACTGCGATGCTGACTGCGACGCTTGCAGCGACGCCACTGGCACACGGCGTGTAAAATAGAAAGACTTACTCAGGGTGCATAGGTGTGGGGGTGAGGCCTAGCTGCAGCACCATGCTCTGGTGGCTTAACTTGTAGTTCTCTATCCACACCTTTTATTGGTATACCCTGCGACTTACTCACACAATTGACTGCTCAGCGGCGACGTGGAGCCCAGAAACTTGCGTTACCGGATTTCGGATGCTGTTTGTTAGTCGTCGCCGCTGCTAAGCCTCTCCCTCTCTTTCTCTGCTTGAACATATAAACACACACACACACACACACTTGATGAGAGGTAACGTTATGCGGTTTTTCTATCCCACTTGCACCTGCAGGCCCCACCGGCAATAGACAAAACTTCAGTGATAGCTTCCCCCTCGCCATCCTCTGTCTCTCTACCTCTACCTCTACCTCTCCCTCTCTCCGCCTCTGCCTATATTGATTTCGTTTTGGAATGTTTCCAGTGTGGGTTTCGCTGGAAACTGGAAATTCTTTTGGGGTCCATTGAGGTTGACCCAAAAATAAAAGAGCAGACCAGAGAAAGGAGGCTTTGGCTGATACTCCCGAGTACGGACCCGTACTACTGCTACAGGCAGTTGGTCACGTAGGGGAGGGGAACGGGGGACGGGGGACGTATGGGTACGCCCCTCGGAATGCAATTTGAGTAGCAGTGAAGCCCAAACTGTTGGGCGGAGGAATATATACATAAATAGATTACATCTATAATGAGGCATGATAAACACTGAAAATGATTGATATTAGAATATATTAGAAATAATTTTCCTTATGGTTATTGTGTGGGTTTTCCGATGCAGATGATCGATTACTATTTGCCTCCAATGGCCTGATGGATGATATTGTGTTGCAGACTATTCAGAGACATGGGCTTTACTAGAACACATTCACTTTTGATTGATTCACTTGGATTATACTTCAATTTCAGTACATTTGTACCCGGTACATATTTCTTAAAGCATGCTTCCAATACTAGAATTTGATTCTTGTTTTAGGTGGGATTTTGCTCGGAATGAGATTCTGCTATGACCTTTAATTGAAGGCTGTTGAATCTACGTTTCAGAACAGTTGAAGTGTTCGGGAAGTATTCAAAGAACACGGTTTTTATTCTAGTTCCAGTTCTAGTGTTGAAATGCTGTCACGAATGATCTTCCCTGAGAGAATGTTCGGTTCTAGTGTTTGTTTGTTTGCATGCTATGCGGTATGTGGGGATCCATTAATGGTATTTTATGTTTCTTTTTCCACACTTTTTTTCTCGTCTTTTTTATTGTTTTTTCTCGTTTATTATTTTTTTTTTTTTGACAGTTGATTTCCACATTCAACAAAACTTGTTTCGTTTTGAGGTTAGTTTTCTTTTCGGCCCGTCTCTCTGCCTCTGGCTCGGGCTCTGGCTCTGCCTCTCTGCCTCTCCGTCCGTCTGTCCCTCTGTCTCTCTGTTTTCTTGTTTAGCCGCTTTTTACAACAACAACGACAACAACACGTGGCACCCAGCGCTGCCAAAACTGTAAGCAGCGCTTTATTGCCATTTGTCCCTCTCTCTGTCTCTCCGTCTCTCCCTCTCTCTGTCTCTCACTATCTCTCTATCTGAGTCTGTCGGTCCCTGTCTTTCTTTGTCTGTCTATTTTTTGCAGTTATTTCCAGTTGGCTGAATTCGGTGGGAGGCAATGGCAATGCCTCCGCTGGCTCGGAGTGGAGGCTGCGAGCCGGCAGAGGTAGTACATACACACTCGCGGAGAGAAATAGAGATAAAGATAGAGAGAGAGCAACTCCCACCATTCCCAAACGATTGTCCGACGATGGTCCATGGGGAGTGGAAGGAGGCAGCGGGCGTCAGTTTTTGCACACTCACGCCCACAAAAAATAATGGACATACATACATATACCTACATATACTACATTGCCGCCGTGTTAATGGGTTAAACAGAAAACTGAAGTTTTGCCCATAAAATAATAGGTGGAGACAGTAAAAAAAATGGCTACAAACTTTCCGTGAATCGAAGCCGGCTCGAGATTATTCATAAAGACACAGGAGACGAGAGATAACGATACCCTCGGATCAGGTGCCGCATCGTTTGATACCACTTCCCAAGAGAGCCACATGATATGGTATGTTACGATCATTCTATGATGATCAAAATGGTTCTCGGATTGTTGAGAGTGATTCATGGCATTACGAGTACGAGTGGGGCCACAGAAACCCCATATATCTGGTTGTCTATGGCTTTCGGTAGTTTTGTGCACCGTTTTTTTGGAGCCGTTAGTGGAGTTGTATAGGAAAAATCAAGGGAGAGATTTTGGCGAAAATCACCATACCCCCGTGCATAGGGTATAAAATACAAACACACACACACACACATGTAGAGCCAGGGGCGGACATGACTGTGCCTGTTTCTCAGGTACTTGAAAAAGCAGAGAGGAAAAAAAACAGAAGTAACAACAACTGCGACAATGTTGATTCAGAGCGACCCCCCCTGCACGGGGGGCGCACGGACCCACCAAAGTTCCAGAGCCCCAGCTGGCAGCTGTGACGGTAACTCCGTAACCCCATCCCCACCCCCATCGCCATCCCCATCCCCGTCTCCGCTGTAAGATTCGTACACACACCTTTTGGGGAATCACTACCCCCACCGCCAGCAGTTTGACAGCCATTGGAAAGTTACTCACATTGCTGGAGATTGTTCTCCTACTGCTGCTGCGCTGCAACTGCACTGCGACTGCGCTGCAACTGGAACTTCTATTGCTGCAACTGCGACTGCTACTGCGCTGCTTTGCCGATTCTACGCTTCTGCACTGCGGACGTCGGACTGCTTACTGCTGCCACTGCACTGCTGCTGCTGCTGCTGCTGCTGCTGCTGACACACACAAACAAATCGAATGAAATTCGTAACACCGAAAAAAATTGATATCTGCCAGAGGGGGAGGGGGGGCGGCGTAAAAAACGCTGGAATGATGCTGCGGAATGGCGCAACGGCAAAACGACGACTACGCCGACGCGAGCAGAGCCGAGAACCGCGCGAAACACGTACGAAACAGAGACGCCAACGCGTGCGCAACGCGGCGCGCACTTCAAAACGAAAGCAGCGAAAAAGCTAAGTGGGGGGACGTGGGGGGGCGGCCCACAACTAAAACGGAAACCGAAACCGAAACGACCGTCGACACACACACTCCGACGCTGACGCTACGAAAACGTCGACAGTCGCCGCACAACTGACGCGCGGCTCCAGCGCCAAGCAGCCGGAGAGGCCCCAAAAGCATCGCCCGCTGGAGGGCTCCACATACAGAGAGAGAGAGACGTACGATAGAGAGAACGAACGCGAGAGAGGGAAGAAAATGAGCGCAAGCTTTGCTCTGAGCAGTGGTGGCGATAGTGGGGATAGGGGGGGACTTACCACAAAGTCAATTGCAAAGGCGAAATGCCAAAAAAGGAGAACCAAAGAAGCAAACAAAAAGCAGCAGCAGCAGCTACGAGTAGAAAAGAACAAAAAAGGCCAGCTTCGAGAGTCGAGAATTTGTATACCCTTTAGATACAGATCGATTATGGATGCCCACCATACATCGGATTGCATGATAAAGCCATCCCACAGCAGAAAGTACTCGTCGATATATCTAATGGGATCGAAGATGGCAATCATACCCTCGTCCAGGAGATTCACAGAGTAGGTTCTAAAATAAATTGTGTGAGTGGTGGCCCCACCGTTTCAGTATCCGTCCTAACACACCTGAAAACAGCTGATCAATCACTTGATATGGCTGTAAAACTGTACAGCTGAATCGATAGATCGTATTACAGTATTGCAGTTTTACAAGTACTTGGTGGAGAACTTTTACACATCTTGGCACGAATACAGTATCAATCAAATAGTTTAAGTTTATGCAGTATCATATTCCCAACGCTTTACAGCACTGTACATGATCAGCAAGGGATAACGTCAGTGACCGCCAAGAAAGACTGAATAGCTGGAACTGTGTTGTGACGATGGTGGAATTAAAATCAAAGCAAGAACAAAGATATGAGAATAAAAATTGCAATTAAAAGTCTTAACAAAAGTTAACCAACACTGTTTAACACTTATCTACACTCACCCAATCGGGAATCATTCTTCTTGCGCACCCGCAAACAGATCGTACAGGATTTGATGCACTGCAATTGGAGTTAAATAAAGGTATCAGAACCACCATACCATACGAGTACTAAGTATACCCGTAGCATGATCAATAAAACGTACATCGTGTATGTGGCGTATGACCTCCGTGCGCGATATGTTCTCCAGGGAAAGGCCATTAACCTCGAGTATCTCATCGCCCACTTCCAGATTATCGCGATCGGGCGGTGAGCCATATAGTTTAATCTTCCCCTCCACATTCTCGACGAGTATGATGACATAGCCAGATAGTTCGACAACTTGTTGCTGCAACGAAAAACGAAACGAAAAATGTTTGAATGCTTCAATGTTGGATGTATGACATTTTCATTCTGGAGCTACCAAGTAATTTCCCCTTTCTGTATTTATAAATTCTGGGTGGTAAATGTGGGGCATAAAGTAATTTTCATAAATGCTTCACTTACAGCACCGCCCCCGCTGTTAAATGTCTTCTTAAATGGCAACAACTTATTTATGCTAGAAATGAAGGGAACGACTAAAAATAATACGGAATAACGCCGAAGTTCCTTTACTGTATCCTTGCGAATTTCTTCATGTACATATGTATGTAGGTAGTATTTTGCTCAACTTTAAAAATCCAAAGAAAATAAGCTCCGAGTATGTCGTATGGAATAGTTTATTATTCTTTTACCAGGAGTGAGGTTTGTTTTTTATTCGGAGAAGATAAGTTTTTGGTTGTTGGTTGGTTTTCTGGAAGCGAGTGTATAAAACAGTCTTCCTTTATAAATATACATATATATATATATATATATATATATATATGTATATGTATATGTATGTATTTTCTGCTTCCATTGTTGCTGCTGCATGGCAGGGTTTTGTCGTAGTACAGTTACCCTCTTGGTTAGGGAATACAAATCAAATTAATTACACAAAAGGATAAAGGACCAGGGCAGGACTCAGAGCACCACGCCACACCACACCACACAACACAAACCAAACCCCGTACACCCACTCACATCTCCGCCCATGCCACCCCCTGTCGTGCGTGCGTGTGCGTGTGTATGTGTGGGAGTATTTGGCCGTTATTGCTTGGGTTGGCTCGTTATGTTAATTACAACAAATTATGCTCATGCGGCAGCCTCCCCCTCATTGCGAGGTGGTGGCATTAAACCATCACCTCCTCTGTCTCCGCACCAGGTGGCTCCCAAGGGGATGCCCCCCCACGCTGCCCTCCGCCACCGCACACTCGTCCTAGTTTCGATGCTCTCTGTTCTCTGTTCTCTGGCTTTATGGCCACTAAATTTTGTGATGCCACCCCCGCACAGTTTTCAGAAACAGAAAAAACAGCCATGGAATAATGATGAATTAATAATAATGTTGAATAATGATAATAATGAAAAATCATCCACTTAGAGTCCACTTTTAATCATTTCTTGTAAATATAATATATATATTAATAATACCAGTCCATCATAATTATGATCAATAATTTAAAGTGAATAAAATGCACAATAAAACGGATTTTGATTTTGAAGAGAGGCATCTCCTTTTATTCGTAGTAATCCATATATTTTGTGCCTAAGCTTGATTTAAAAAAAAAAAAAAGAAAGAAGAACTCAAATGCCGATTTAAGTTAAGACTTGGGCCACTTTTATGTTTGAATCATTTTAGAATGTCGTGCATCGATGTCTCTTAACCGTTTTTTGAGCACTGTCGGGAACATTTTTCTTAGGTTTTTCTTCTTATTTCTGCACATTTTGGACTCCAAATTATATTACTATCCATTTTTTATAACACGATAAGAGTTATCAACGAACAGGGCACATTCATGATGCAACCGTGCCATACGATCATGGTAGGATTATCCTTATCTTAAGCAAAATTTTTGTGTGATAGAAAGCCAGCTTCAATAGTTTCATGGATGCCACATATTATAGTCTCATAGCAACCAGTCTCATAATACATAATCTCCCCACGTAAGTGCATCAAAAGAAAAGAAAAAGCCAAAAATCGTTCTGGCTGTGGGCGCCCCATCCTCGTCCTTCACTTGCATTTCCCCCCTCCATTTCAATGGCGACTCAGTGGAGTGGGGAGCGGCTCTTGGCACACAAGGTTAAAGCCAAATTGGATTGATAACACCTTCGATTATGGCTCAGAAGAGTTATTTGGCACCGAGCGAGGTTTGACAGCAACTGCAACTGGATAGCTGGCTGGGATGGTATGGGATTGGGCGTGTACTCGCACTCGTACACCAAGGGGGAAGGACGAGGAGTACAGTACTCATCCAAAAACCACCAAAAAGGTGCGGCAACAGCAACAAGCAAACGCAGCCAACATTTTGTCTGCCTTTTGTTGGAGCAAACAAGCAACAACCCACGCAAAGGCCACAAATCCCCCAGAGAGACACACGCCCACGCATTCGCATGTATTTAATCCTATTCGCATATCCACATCCATTATAGGGGGCTTCCTGTACATTTTTTCTTCTTCTTTTTTTTAAGATATGCGAATAACGAATCTTCGAAATCTAAATCCCCAAAGCACACCCACTGTAAGGGTTCTTGCTGGTTTTCGTCATCCGCATCATCGGAGTCAACAAGACGCGTCCTCGATTTGGATGCCCTATGGCCCTACGGGGTCTTTGTGGAGATCCGTAGCATTGACTTTAACGGTTCGAAAGACCTGAACATCTTCCTGCTGTCCCTAAGCCGTTGCGAGGACATGGGCCGCGGATGGCGCCTGCCCAGCGCTGGCCGAATCAGCCGCCAGGATCTTCAGCAGTACGACCTTCATCTATAAGAGGGAGATGAAGGCGGATTCCACTCGTAATACAGCAGGGTGTGATTGTGCGATTGAGAGCACAGCAGAGAAAAAAGAGTTCACTACTACTGCCGTTCTATCCTTTAACTACAACTACTGTTCCCTGTGAACCCTGTTGACAGTGAACACCGCTCTGCACTGTACGGCAGTCTGTTAAAGCGATTTAAAGCCAGATTTAATGTGCTAAATATTCTCATAATAAAATTAATGGTTTCAATGGATGGGACGATTACACAGCGTATGCATTTATTGTACATTAATCTCGGATACTTTAAACTTTTAGCAACTTCAATGCATAAAAATACGTATCATTCGTTTAACCATACCATCGTCGCCTGCAACGGAGCTCCTTTTTACGCATACATTGGCTCGTGTGCACAGGAATAAGTAAGGTTCTAATCTAGGGAAAACCCTATTTCCGTGGAAACTGACGATGCTGGTGTTGAAAAACATTTTCCAACCGTGCATAGCATTGGATTGGATTGGTATTTCAAAGGATATACTCGTACAGCCGATTAAGCTACTGCATATTTCCTTTGACAATAATTGCTCATCTGACTCTGCTGAAAGCGGATCGATATAGCCAACCAAAGTCTCCTGAAACAATTCGCATCCCTTTTCATCAGTGAGAAACCAGCGACCGCCTCATGTCCTTACAGTCTTTGATTATGATAGTTCTAGGGAATCCACTTCTCTTAGAGGATGGAATACAGCGCACTGCTGTGATACTTTGGAAATACTCAGTCGACAGACTCAAGGACTCAAGCAATTATATTTATATTAATAAATAAGTTTCTCTGAAAAAGAGACTTGATTCAATTTTGAAAAGCATGAATTCAACCCAGTTCATGGTGAAATAAATGTCCGCTTCCAAGAATTTTGAAATCTCCTCGATTTATCACGGCGATAAAATCGCTCAAATTCCCGGAATCTAAACTATTAATTTAACTTTTTTGTTAATTTATATCGTCTCCTTCTGACAATTTAAGACTTGAATTCAGTTTTTAGTTCTACCCGCCGGACCTCAGGTTGCGCCCTGAGAACAGTATCACAGTATCGACTATTGGTCGCGGCATTGACTGAAAGTTGGGAAAACATTGCATTTTTAAGCACCACGGAGCATTCAGTATCTGAATGATTCAATTTGCCATGTGGCAGGGCAGGGCAGGGAATGCGGCAGACAGTTGCATCCGAAACAATTTCAATCAGATGCAAAGTGATGTGCCACACACACCACAGGAAAGCCCCCAAAAAGGAAAGCGACACAAAGAGGGAGCCAGAAAAAACCACAAAATGCAAACCGAAAATTGCCAAAAAACATGTCAGAAATCATTTAAACCAGTCCCAGAAACACAGACACACACACACACAGGCTGAAGTCCAACAAGTAAGAGACAGAGGTCAGAGCAGAGGTACAGTGACCGCTCGACGAGTGGATGGTTAGCGTTGGGCTCTGAGGCATTCGATACTTTTGCTAATTGATAAATCCGTTGATAAGGCCTTGTTGCTTAATGCTCTTGCGTCAGACTTTTCCTTAAGCGAAAGGATACACGAACAGTGCAGTGGAAAAACTGTCGTCCCCGAATGTGAATTCAACGTCTAACAGACTAGTTTCATCGTAACAGACAGGCAGATAGATGGTTATGACGATTTGTAAAGTTTTTTGTATCGAAAGGTATTTCTTTTCCTCTACTGATGGAACTACTGGACTTCTAGGAAATATTGTGCTCTATGGAATGGAGGCAAATATACTGGAAAATGAAGATCCTTTGGACTACGGTCGGATAACTTTTTAAGCACTAAAGTTGTATGATTATAAGTCCACATGCGATATTATAATCTATGAGCAGGTGGAGTACTGGTTAAAAAATATGAAAGCAAGGCTAGTTTTTTGGGGGAACGATTCCTATTACAGCCCCATTCGATTGTTTGTTGTAAGTCGAGTATTTTGTGCATTGGAAGTGAGTCTTCCAATCAAATACACACGTTCTCAGGAACATATTTAGATGCATATTTCGTGGGATCAGAGATCCCGTCCAGTCCTTCCTTCCGTGAGCAATTTTAACGTGCAGCATCCCCCCGAAAAGGACTAAAAAACGAAAGTGTTTCCTAATTGCAAAACAAAGTGAATAAAAAACAAACGGAAATCAAAAATTATGCCCCATGGTGCGGGGGTTCACAAAACTGAATGGACGACAGGGGAGGAGTGTGTGTGTGCGGCAGACTGGAGGGCTGGGGGGCTGGGGCGTGGCTGGACAACAATTGTTGCAAGTGGCAGAGAGTGCAACAATGGGACGGCGAAAACGGGTGGGGGAAAACACTCAACTGGAAGTGAACTCGAGTCGAGCTGGCAAGCGGCCAAAAAGGACACACAAAGCAAAGCCAGATCTGGTCCTGGACCTCAACCTCCACCTGCACCTGAACCCCGTAGCACCTGGCCAAAAGAGCCCCAGCATACAAATGAACAGGAAGACAGTGCTCGG